AATTCATGAACACGCTTTGATCGAAAATCCATTCTTCCTTTAAATTATTACATACAATTTAAACAATGATAATCATGAAATATATAAAGCTTAAAAGCTCTTTCTCTCTTCGTTTATATATATGATCATGATTTACTGCCGCGGAAGATTATCTTTTCGTATATTAATTATGATATTTATAATTATGGCAATTAATTATAGATTATAGAAATCAATTATAGATTATGGAAACTTGTTTTACTATTAAAATAAATTTAAGTTAAATTTATATTAATGTTTATTTATATTAAATTAATATTGATAACACTTTTATAGAGAGGGGCAAAGGGAAAGGGAAAACTTTGAAATTTTGCCTGAACATATTTTGTATAGCTTGTCCCAGTTTCCTTCAAGGTGCAGCGACGCACGCACAATGCCTTAATCGAATATACATTATTTAATATTGATCCAAGCCTGGCGTAACACCAAAACTTCTTGTTTACCAGAAATGTCGATGACACGACGGAACTACGTAGAACTTATTACATCGCATCGTAATTGGCAGGTATATAGGCGTTTCACGTACCGCGCGAAAATACTTAATTGTTTGCGAACTCATGTAGCGCAACATTTGCATAACAACGTTAAGCTTATTACGTTCGGAGCAAATCATCGGCTCGTCAAAATCGAGTCTTAAACAAGTCTGCACTTCATGTAAACCGTCGCTCTCGCAATTTCTCGATAGGGATATCGATATAATCTTAGGAGATTACAAACCATTCACTACCTACATAATTCTCCGGGATCTCGATCAATCCACGAATACGTGGCTGGCGATTAATTTCAATTTGCTGTATCGATGAGAATATTAATTAATTAGTAGAATAATGATAGTACTCGTATGTATTTTATAGAAAAAACTGTAACTAAACGTTCCTTTCAAATTAAATAATCAACATTTTCATAATGTAGTCATAAAAACGGAAAAAAATTTTTAAATAAAAAGAAGCTTAAATTTGTGTGTGTGTGTGT